AAAAACTTGCCAGTCTAGACACAGCCCTGTTGTAGATACTGCTGGTGACATTTTCAGGCTCTATCCAGCTCAGATTTGCCTGAGGAATTGCTAAGCCCCTGAGCATAAGCAGCTTCACATCTCCTTCTGCCTTGATGCCCTGACTCAGGCTGTGGCTATAGCTAGGGCTGAAGTAATGCAAGGACATCAGGGGCTGCAGGCTAAGGGGGGGCCCTGAAAAAATAAATTATGATGGGTGGGGAACCTCTAGCTCGCAGGCCAGATATAGCTCCCTGCTTAATTTCATCTGGCCCATGGCAAGGCTCTGCCCTGATCCTGAGTTCCTTCCTGCCGGGCTGGAGCTGTGAGTCCTGGCTTGCGATGATCAGGGAAGCTCAGGAGCTGCCCAAGGTAAGCGACTTGCACCCCTAATCTCCTGCCTTAGCCCTGAGCCCCCTCCCTCACTCAAAAGCCTTCCCAGAGCCCGCACCCCCTCCCTGATCCCACTCCAGCACCCTAACTCCTACCCACACTCCACATACCCACCTCCACCCTGATCTCCTGCCCTGCGCTTCCTCCTGAAGGCCTCCACCTGGAGCCCTCTCCTGCATCCAAACCCTCCTCTTCAAAGCCCCCCCCCAGTTGGAGTCCTCACCTCCTTCTGTATCCCGATCCTCTGCCCCAATCTGGATCCCTGTGTCTCACACTGAATCCTTCATTTTTGGCCCCAGCCCAGAGCTTAGGGGACGCTCCAAACCTTCACACGGCTGCATGTGGTGATTTTATTTTAAATTAGAAAAGAGACTTGTAGACAGAGACCCCACAAAATCTGATAGCCCCAGACCCCCAGGAGCGTTAAATTGACCCTGGTTTTACCTAGGGCAATAGACATGGAAGATGGAGTCTGAGGATTCCATGTTACTAGAGGTACATACTGCTCAGAAAGTCCTAATTCCTCCTCCCCCCCCGCCCCGCCTCCTGATTCTCTCTCTATGGCTGGGCTCTATCTGTAGAACAGGGTGTGCCAAACACCAACTAGCTGCCTGTGAATTTTGGGTCCAAATGCAGCTGTTGTGGTCTGGGCCTATCTCTAGCCTTGACCATTGTGACTGATTGCACTGAAGCAGGGCAGTGAGGAATCAGGTCTCCAGTTCCTGACCCAATAGGTCTAGTATCTGACCAAAGTAGAATGCGCCATTGCCGTGTGCTAGGTATGTTGCTCATGCTCATGCGAAGAACTACCTAAGGGACCAGAGGGGGATGCACCAGGTAGCACTGAACAGCTATACTTGTTCAATGACTTTAGCCCTGACTGCCTCAAAGCACAGGTAGAAGCTGCTTATGCTCAGTAATGCTGATGAAGGAATACAAGGCACTCCCAGGTATTGACATGTAGGGTGCAATTTTTTCCATATGCAGAAATTTGTCCATACCTGAAAAAGTCTTAAGTGTGTGTCTGGGGGGTGGAGGGGCTGGGAGGTGGGGGTGTAAATGTTTAGCCTTTTAGCAAACAGGCAACTAGACGATTTGACCAGGTACAGTACTAGTGATTTCAGACAGCAAACAACCCTAGGAACCTGTGTCAGCCCATAGGAGCAGAAGGAAATTGATTTTTTCATTCAAGTTGGGCATGTGTGTCTGAGTTTTTTTTCTATCCTTTGTTTTACCTGCTTCTCTACAGCACCGCAAAGTCTGCTCTGCTAATAGTGTCAGGAAGGATGTGTGAGAACTCACAGCATCTGACAACATTACATCAGCACTGCGTGAAGTTTACAGCTCCAAGAAGCCAGAAAGGACAATGTTGTTTTTGAACAGCTGAAGGAAAAATGTTTCCAAATGTCAAATGCAGTTTCTAACATATACTGCGCTGATTTCTATGAGCTTAATCTACCCAAGTGTTAGGAATAGTGTATCATCTGCTTTGAAGTGGAAATAATTAGCCCCTCTGACATTAAGCACATTCACATACCATGCAACTACATGAAAATAATCACCTCCACTATCTAAGCACAATGGGTTGAGATAAGGTATTTTCAGCTGTAACACATGCTTGGTTTCCATGGGTTTAAATGACCTCTGGTACTCTTCTTGGGTTTGATCCTGCAAGGTGCTGAGTGCCATCAAGCTACCAAAACCGAGCATGGCTGTTAAGGAAGAAAGTACTCAGCTTCTCATAGGCACTCACTTTAAAAGTGGCATTTGCTGAATCACATTAATTCTGAAAGGAAGGAAGAAAGAAAAGGAGATGAAGCTGCATACTGTTGCTGAAATGACCTAGAGGTGGGTGCCACTAATGAAAACATTTTCACTAACATTTTTGAAAACATGGTGCCTCCTGATTGTGCACCCCAATTATCAGTAATGAATAAGGATGACAAATAGGCTAGTTCCTTCCCTGCCATTCATAGAATCATAGAATACTGGGACTGGTAGGGACCTCGAGAGGTCATGGAGTCCAGTCCCCTGCCCTCATGGCAGGACCCAGTACTATCTAGACCATCCCTGATAGACATTTATCTAACCTGCTCTTAAATATCTCCAGAAATTGAGATTCCACAACCTCTCTCGGCAATTTATTCCAATGTTTAACCACCCTGACAGGAAGTTTTTCCTAATGTTCAACCTAAACCTCCCTTGCTGCAGTTTAAGCCCATTGCTTCTTGTTCTATCGTCAGAGGCCAGGACGAACAATTTTTCTCCCTTCTCCTTGTTGCACCCTTTTAGATACCCGAAAATTGCTATCATGTCCCCTCTCAATCTTCTCTTTTCCAAACTAAACAAGCCCAGTTCTTTCACCCTTCCTTCATAGGTCATGTTCTCTAGACCTTTAATCATTCTTGTTGCTCTTCTCTGGACCTTCTCCAATTTCTCCACATCTTTCTTGAAATGCGGTGCCCAGTACTGGACACAATACTACAACTGAGGCCTAATCAGTGCAGAGTAGAGCGGAAGAATGACTTGTGTCTTGCTCACAACACACCTGTTAATGCATCCCAGAATCATGTTAGGTTCTTTTACAACAGTGTCACACTGTTGACTCATATTTAGTTTGTGGTCCACTATAACCCCTAGATCCCTTTCTGCCGTACTCTATCCTAGACAGTTGCTTCCCATTCTGTATATGTGAAACTGATTGTTCCTTACTAAGTGGAGCACTTTGCATTTGTCCTTATTAAACTTCATCCTGTTTACCTCAAATCATTTCTCCAATTTGTCCAGGAAATTTTGAATTATGACCCTGTGCTCCAAAGCAGTTGCAACCCCTCCCAGCTTGGTATCATCTGCAAACTTAATAAGCGTACTCTCTATGTGGATATTTAAATAGTCGATAAAGATATTGAACAGAACTGATCTCAAAACAGACCCCTGTGGAACCCCACTTGTTATACCTTTCCAGCAGGATTGTGAACCATTGATAACTACTCTTTGAGAATGGTTATCCAGACAGTTATGCACCTACCTTATAGCAGCCCCATCTAAGTTGTATTTGCTTAGATTATTGATAAGAATATCATGTGAGACCGTATCAAATGCCTTACTAAAGTCTACATATACCACGTCCACCACTTCTCCTTTATCCACAAGACTCGCTATCCTATCAAAGAAAGCTATCAGATTGGTTTGACGTGATTTGTTCTTTACAAGTCCATGCTGGCTGTTCCCTATTACCTTATTATCTTCCAAGTGTTTGCAGATGATTTCCTTAATTACTTGCTCCATTATCTTTCCTGGCACTGAAGTTAAACTAACTGGTCTGTAGTATCCTGGGTTGTTCTTATTTCCCTTTTAATAGATGGGTACTATCTTATCGCCACTTCTTGTGCCCATCACAATAGTGTCCTGCTCCCAGCTAATTTTTATTTATTATACAGGGACACCTATTGAGGCTCGCAGCGCTTTCATTAAGGGCAGTTTGCCCAGCTGATGCATTAATGACTTCAAACAGCAAACACACTTACTGAGACATGAGCCCAACTTCTGAGCTGCTCCATACAGAAGGGGCCAGACTAGCTGCAAGCCACCTTTTGCTCATCCTGACTTCTGGGTCTGGGTGGGGATATGCTTGGCCCAGGGCTTTGAATGACCTCCTATGAGCTGCTATATAGTCCCTGAGAGCTGGAGTGTGGCTTGCTCTGGTCATACCCATTTCCTTCCAGATACATCTGCCCCATATGTTCCTATGCCTAGCACTGCATGGAGGGGGTACACAGGGCCATTCTGCTAATACCGTGTCACCCAGAGAACCACTCTATGCTGGGCGTATTCCCAATGGGGTCACTTGAACTACCAATATCTGCTGTCACTGTCTTTGTGGCGGTCGAGCAGCAATAAAGGGCCCATGAAAACCTGAAGTTACTCACCCGAGAGGCATTAGTGACTGACAGATTTGGAGTGGGTTTAAGAATCAGGTAATTTGCTTTGGCTCTTACAGGGACATGCCAATCGGTCAGCTCGGCCCTGTGGAAATGAATGTGTGTTCGTGTGATTCTCTTTCACTTTGTTACTCATTTTGTTTTACCCTCTTTACTTTTAAAGTCTTTGCTACCACGTGCAAAACATACAATGGCCTTTGGTTCCAGATTGCCTCACCTTGCCCATTTGATAACACATCTGTGTGCTTGTGCCAGGGAGCCCTAGCGTAGATAATTGAGGACAGGTCTAACCCTCGCTTTTTCCAGCCTTCCAACATTTTAAGCCCTTAAAAGACAAACACTGTACTGAAAACACTAACTCTTAACAGACGTGGTACTTTGACTGTCGCTCTTAGTCTAACCATAGCTTGTGCTTTCGGGGTTGTGGTGAGGAAAGCGTTGCTTTTTGCTAGGGAGCTGGTATGCTTCATGTACCTGTTATTCACATGTCTTTTGAATGCTCTGAGTCACAAGAATGCTATCAAATGGCACATCTGCCTTATAGGTGATAGCAGCACCTACAGCTCTGACTGTCGGTATGAGAAGTCTTTAGAAGAGCTGGAGGTGGGAACACATCCTGTTTATACCAACCAGTGAGTGAGCAGCTGGATAGCAGGCGGGTGACTGCAGCGAGCTGTGTAACAGTCACTAACCCCAATCACCTCTCTCTAGCTGGGTCGTATCAGGCTCTGCTTGGTTCAACTACAGAAAATGGATTCTCTGAACGTTTATCATGGCAGCATCAGCCGGGAGACGGGGGAGAAGCTCCTGCTGGCTACGGGGATGGATGGCAGCTATTTACTGCGAGACAGTGAGAGCATCCCAGGAGTATATTGCCTGTGTGTGCTGTGAGTACAGAAAGTCAAGGGAATCCAGGGTCTGCAACAACACCCCTTACCTGATGTCTGTTTAATTGTCGGGGAGTCAAAGCTGCCACCTAGAATGCAGCTGCAAGAGGGTTTTATGGGTCTCAGCTCCATTTAATGAAGTATCATGAGCATGGAGACCTTCCAGTGGGCAGCCCATTTGGTGATCCTCTGGCTTTCCTCGACCTCCAGCCTCTGGCTTTGCAGCATGAGTTCTGCCTTGCATTACATTTGACAGTTAGAAGGGTCATCTTGTGGCAGAATGCGCAAACATTTTTGTGTGTACAAAGCCTTGTGGGGACTTCGCTTTGCATCGCCGACTTCAGGCTCGGGGTTCTCGGGCCTTCTCAGAGAAAGGATAGGCGAGTTCAGGTTCCTGCCCTGAGCTGCTTAATCTTAAATGGGACACAGAACAGTGAGCAAAGGCAAATCTATCTCAATGATGGGGTGGAGAGAAGGAAAGAGGAATGAGGCTATAACAGCGTAAGCCATGCACTTTAGATGGTATACTGCACGTGCTTCTTGCTCCTTTGGCTTTGCCTGTTGCCTGTCTTCCTCTTTACTACACTGAATAGCAGGACAACCCAAACCTTCCTTTCCCCAGGGGGCTCGTAGGGAGGAATATTGATGCCTTTTAGGCATATATTGAAAGTGAGAGCTTGCCAACTCTTCAGGGTCTGATTTTGTCTGCCTTAGTAAAGGGGAATATATCCCTGCGCGCTGGGAGTATTGCTGCTGATTTCTGAACGTGTCAAGCAGAGCTAGATAATAAAGAAAATGGTGACAATGTATCAGGATGATAGAGTTGGGGCAGAGGGAGGAATTCCTATGAGGTGTCTGTCATAGGTCACCCACTTGGCGAGAAGGCACTGATGAGTCGCTTCTGAAATGGAGATGAGCTGACAAAGGGCTTAATATTTATGGGGGGTTGGAATGACAGAAGTGTGAGTTCTATTAGCGAAGGGCGAAAAATCCAGAGTATTAGCTTTGAGCAGGCACGCTGAAGTGCTATGCCACTAAAAGAACAAAGAAATGGCCAACAGGTCTGTACCGAGAGCTACTTTAAGCAATGAAAGAGGGAAAAGGGATATTAAAAGGATATGCTAATATCAGCAAGAAATTACCAAGACAAGATCAATGATTATTATTAACTAAAAGAGATAAAAGAAAAATAAAGCAGGCTTTTTTTCCATAAAGAAAGGATAAGATAATAAATATATTAGTACATAAGAACGGCCATACTGGGTCAGACCAAAGGTCCAGTCTAGCCAGGTATCCTGTCTTCTGACAGTGGCCAATGCCTGATGCCCCAGAGGGAGTGCACAAAACAGGGAATCATCAAGCAATCCCTCTCCTGTCACCAATTTCCAGCCCCTGACAAACAGAGGTTAGGAACACCATTTCTACCCATACTGGCTAATAAGTATTGATGGGCCTTCTTTTTTTTGAACCCTGTTAAAGTCCTTGTCTTCACAACATCCTCTGGCAAGAAGTTCCACAGATTGACTGTGCAGTGCATGAAGGTTTGTTTCAAACCTGCTACCTATTAATTCATTTGATGACCTGTAGTTCTTATGTTATGGGAACAAGTAAATAATTTTCCCTTATTCACGTTCTCCATACCTGTCATTATTTTATGGACCTCTATCATATCCTCTCTTAGTCTCTTCTTTTCTAAGTTGAAAAGTCCCAGTCTTTTAAATCTCACTTCATAAGGCACCCGTTCCAAACCCCTAATCATTTTTGTTACCTTTTTCTGAACCTTTTCCAATGCCAATATATCTTTTTTGAGATGAGGTGAGTCAGGCGACCACATCTGTACATAGTATTCAAGATGTGGGTGAACATAGATTTATATAGAGGCAATAAGATATTCTCTGTCTTATTCTCTATCCCTTTTTTAATTATTCAATTTAAAATAATATCTATATCATACTTTCCAACAAAGGTATGAATGTTCTCATTGACATCACTTGGTTTTAGCCTTGAATTTTAAACTGTGCATATTATTATTATTTCACATAAGGGCAAAGTGAGGTGTAGAGCCACATAAGAAGTGTCCCAGGCTGACATGAAAAGGTTGTAGTCGAACTGTAAACACAATCCAGTTCCATTTTTATACATCTATTGTTGTGCCTTAATTAAATGAGAATTAAAAATAAACATTAAATAATTCCAAATTGGCGGACACTTCTAATATCTGCTTTACTTCAGCCTTTAACAAGACAACCAAATTTAAGGGATTAAGAAGAAGTGTACTGAGTTAAACGCTAATGCAGATTTGAGGTAGATAGATATGAAAAGCAGTGATACATCTCTAGTAAAAGGAACCAGCTAATAAATAATGAGTCCAAGCGTTCTTAAAGAACTATCAGAGGAAATGGGGAAACAGCTACTTATCATTTGTAGAGTGATCCAGAAGAGGTGAGTGGTAGCAGGTAATTGGAGCGTCATGAACAATTTTATCCAGCTTTATGAAAAATAGAGCAGGATTCCAGGAAATCAGACTAGCTGGCCTACATTCATTACTTAACTTATAACAAGGACATGGAACTGCAATTAATCAGTAAAAATTTCTGGTGATATTAAAGGCAGTTTGTTTATATGAATGTGAGGAAGGTCAGGTTTTAAAGAGCAGATTAGGACAGTTAAATAAGATGCTCATAGGTCTGAAGACAAATGGGCATGCAATCAATAATAAAACAGCTTCCTAACTGTGCCTGGAAAATGTGCAAAGTGGAAATAAATGTTTGCATTTAGGGATACATTTGAATGAACAAAGGATGAGATAACAAATTACTTACCTGAAAACCATAGAGAGTAAAGTGTTTGTAATCCAGACTATAAGTGCTTAGGAAAAGTTTTTACACCTTTTAGTGGAGATCTATAATTGAGTGGCTAGAACAACATTGTACAGAGAACTAGGATTTGACATGGATGGAAATCTGGTGGCAGAATCACAGAGATGAGCGGTAGGTTCAGGACTGTTCAGTACAGTATTTCAATAATGAGTGTGGTGCAAGAAGTAGATTGTACAATAATTAGCATCTCAGATGATAAACTAGGAGACAATGAGTTGATGATTTCAGAGTGATCTGGCAATGTGATGGTAATTTAGATACGTGTATGAAATAGTCTACTATAGCAGGCAAAAAATGTAAGCTAGCTGAGCAACACCACAGCAAAGAGGAGAGATAGCAGCCAATAAGTCATAGTTGGTTGTAGATGCTTGCCGTGGTAAGGAAGAACAAATCTTATACTGGCAAGTATCCAGGGAGATAGCACACATAGGACTGGAGTGACAACTGTACAGGTTATGGAGCCTTGACAAAACCAAAAAGAGATGTGTGTAGAAATTGGGCTTTATCACTGCAAAAACAAAACAAAAACCCAACCCCCCGCCCCAAACCATTAGTAAACCATAGAATGTATTTCTGAATTAAATTCTGGGGGTGTGATCTTGACTTCATACCTGCTTGTAAAGCACACAGAACAGTGTTGGCTCTTTGCAACGAATAACAAATAAAATAATGATGCTATTAAAATACCCCCTTTTAATCAGCACTCAGAAACTCCAGTGGTGGGTGCTCTAGGAATACCTAGAGAGTGTTTAGGTAGAACATGTACCATTTACTATACTACAGATCCAATCACTAGGAAATGATTTTTGAAATGGTAAAGTCTTCAAGTGAACAAAAAAAATTTGTATTTTCTGTGAAACATTTCAAATGAACTGAAAAGTTTTTGCAGGGTAAATTTTTTTGATTAAATGGAAACAGCAACAAAATTGGTTTGCAAAACCCCAAACATGTTTCAGAGTTCCCTCCTTCCACTGATTACAGTGTGGTGTAAATAAATAGCAAGGTTTGGGTTTTTTTGGAGGGAGGAGTGTTTAAAACAAAATCCCAACCGATTTATTTTGAGCCAAGTGAAAAATTTCTTCAAGAAGCCATTTGTTGATGAAAAGATTGTAGCCAACTCTAATAAATGTGAATGGCCAATCCTCCGCATGACACTGCTGATGGGAAGTCAGTTTTTGGTGTGCAATGACTCCCAAAGCATTAGGAGCAGTATGTCCCCAAAGTTTTTAGAGTCTTTCCAAAAACTTTCAGAAGTTCTTTACGCCATTTTTCCTCCCTATGCATCTCCTGGCTCACTTTGAAGATAATAAAGGCAACAAAAGCTGTGGTCAGCCTCAATTGTCTTCTATGCTCTCAATTAAAATAAAATCCCATTCCTAAGCAGAGTAATGACCTTGGAAACGGAGAAGAATCAGACTTTGTTTGATAAATATTTATCCAGGAAACTTTTCTTTCCCATTGCTTTGTACTTGGTTGTTTTGAGTGAGACCTGCTTTCCTCCACTTCCCCGTCAGTTCAGGCCTAGACTGAAGTGCCCTAAGCCACATCGTGCAGACAAGAGCCCACAAGACTTCAAAGAGAAAACGGGTTTTGTGTGGCTGTGGCAAATTACAAAGATACACTTTCTTTCATCAATATTTTAAGACCACAATGATGAAGGGAAACGGTTCATACAGCAATAGGTAGGTTTTGATTTGTTTTGGGGTCTCCCGTGGCTCTTGTAAATACAGATGCTCCCTGCACTTGTCTGCAACATTTTAAAATGAAGTGCTTCTCCTGGGCCTCCCTACTGTGCGACTTGTTTAATAACATGATTAAGCGAATAACATTGATTACTGCCAGAGTGGATGTACGGCTGCATGTTTCAAATATGCTGGCCCAGGAGCACAAAGATTTAAATTCATCATCTTTTGATCATGTCGAAAACGGAGATGTTTCTTGCTGTTCTTCAAAATTAGGATGTTTCTCAATGAATTTTTTAAAAGAAATGGTTCCATTGGGTAAATCAGTTGGATATTGCATGCAAAGCTACAAGATTTTTTATTGGATCTTGAATTTTTTTCCTTATGTTGTTCTTTCTTTTCTAGCAATATGTTCTGTTCATGGACATCTTGGCTTTCC